CGAAGAAGACTGGTGGCGTCCGTGTTGTGTCGTAGTCGATGAAGATACACCTGGTGTCGGTGTTGTTGGCGAACCACCAGTGGCGTCCGTGTTGTTGTTGTTGATGAAGATCGGTGGCATCCGTGTCATCGTCAATGAAGATTGGTGGTGTCCGTGTCGTCCGTCGTCGTCGTCATCGCGCGAAGATCAGTGGCGTTGGCGAAGACCCGAGGCGTCCGTGTTGTCGTGTCACTCGTCGGCGATGGTTGAAGATAGCTTCCGCGTCTCTCACGTCCACCTGAAATATAACATATAACATATAACATATAACAGATAGCCTGTGGTTGGGTCGTAAGTGAAGGTGAAGGTCCATGGTGTAACATATAACATATAACATATAATCCTGTGTCTGCGTGGCATCCGCGTTGTCGTGTTGCTCGTCGGCGATGGTTGAAGATAGCTTCCGCGTCCCTCGTGTTCCACCTGAAATATAACATATAACATATAACATATAACAGATAGCCTGCGGTCGTGTCGTAAGTGAAGGTCCATGGTGTAACATATAACATATAACATATAACAGATAATCCTGTGTCCTCATGGCGTAGTTGATGAAGATCTGCGAACAACACACCGAGCCTGATGATGGAAGGGAGTATGAATAAGTGACTGAGCTTGACAATGGAGCTGAGCTTGATCAACATACCGAGCTTGACAATGGAGCTGAGCTTGACTGACATACCTAGCTTGACCATGGAACTGAGCCTGAACAACACACCAAGCCTGATGATGGAGCCGAGCTTGAATGATGCAGTGAGCTTGACAATGGAGCTGAGCTTGATCGACGTACCGAGCTTGACGATGGAACTGAGCTTGACCGACGTACCAAGCTTGACAATGGAACTGACCCTGAACAACACACCAAGCCTGATGGTGGAAGGGAGTATGAATAAGTGACTGAGCTTGACAATGGAGCTGTGCTTGAATGCTGACCTTGAAGTCGAAGGGATTGGCCACCTTGCCTGACTGCCAACCAACAGCTCACCAAGCACTTACCTCTCAGCTCTCTCAGCACTCGGCTTGCTGTCAGCCAACAGGCAGGTCCTGCTGGGATACTACACAGACGGAGCTAGGTAAGTAATCAAACAACACAACCTTCTGAAGAGATGACGTACTTA